AAAGTAGCGATCTGATTTACTCTAATGGTAAAACTAAATTAAATACATACACATAAAAATTGTTCCCTAGAAAATTTACGTATAAAAGCTACATAAAATCTAATTATAAATTATCAGGGGTGTTAATTTTACATGATGGATTTTATAATTTTGTACTCTAAATTATCAAGGGGTAGGGTTTTTGTACATGTTTTTGCATTATATGCATTTTTGCGCTCTTGGACAGTCCTATCAGCAAAACATGTCCTTTCCTAGTTTAGGCATCTTTGCTAGCTAAGGGTTTTCGATTCCATTTCCCATATGCCAAGGATTTATGGGTAGCGGAATTGACCGAAAACCCTTGGCTAGCGAAGATGTAGCTAAGGGTACAGTTAGAATTTTGCTTGGATTTCAAAATAGGATACCAAGAGTGGCCTAAGCAAAAATTGTATACTTAAATCTGAATAAAAAAAGGTTTTGTTGACATGTTAAAATACTACATGTGTGCGAAAGAAGATTAGTTTAATGAGTTTACATTCAAATACAAATGTATGATCATGTTTCATGATAGTAGAAATTTAGAAAATGAATGGACAAAAAAAACTAAAAAAAATGTGGTTAGAATATGTTTTAAATACGTTTTAGCACATCTGAGCTGAAAGCTCAAGTGAGCTTTTCTAATCACTCGGGTCATTGTCTATCGTCCGTCTGCCTGTCTGTCTGTAAATTTTTCACATTTTTAACTTCTTATCAAGAACCACTGGGGCAATTTTGAGCAAACTTGATACAAAGCATTCTTAAGTGAAGGGGAGTTTAAATTATTAAAATGAAGGACCAAGTTACCTTACAAGTTAATCAAGAAATGACAAAAATAGGACTTGGTCCTTAAAAGATCTTTACAAGAACCCTTTGAACAGAAAAGCAGAAACATCGGTGGAAGCATCTTGGGATAGTGTAGATTCTAAATTATTCAAATTATGAGACCTGGGGTAAGGGCAGGGTCACGATAGGGAATCCATGTTTTACATTAAAATATATTGAAAAATCTTTTTTTTAAATCTTTTTTTCAAGATCCACTGGGCCAGAAAAGCTGAAAGTTATGTGGAAGCATCCTGGGCTAGTGAAAATTCTAAATTGTTAAAATCCTGACCTCGAAGATAGGAATCCAAGTATCCCATTGAAGTATATTTGGAAAATCTTTGAAAATCTTCTCAAGTAAATTACTCAGGTGAGCGATGTGGCCCATGGGTCTCTTGTTTACTTGACCGTTTTCTTCACATATGAAACCTGCGGGGAAACATTTTCTTTTAGATTCCTCGTCAGACCATAACGAAATTGAAATTGGGAAGAAATTGGTTTCTTCAATTAATGGATGTGTTTAAAAGACATTTAGCTTTATCTGATGGCCATGAACCTTATTTTAACATTGTACTGAATTAAGCAAATTAATCAATTTCGACTTCTTGACGGCTGGGTGAAGGCCAGACCAAATCCCCCCCCCCTCTCTCTCTCTCTCCGAAAAATAAAACAATTACCTTTCGTTGCCTTTGGGTGGAAAACAAAGTACACTGTACTTAGATTTACTAAGTTGCGCATGTAATGTGACCTAATGAAGACATCACATTTAGCACTTCAGGGCTAGGCAACTTTTTAAAATGATACGCGTGCACTTGCATATTTCTTCTGATAACGTTAATGAATTCACCGACCTTATTCTATTCAAATATTTGCATGCATGCCAAGGATAACCCATGCAGGCATTTTTGTCTTTTATGATCCTTACCATATTTTCTCTCACATTTAAATGTAGTAACAATTTTTAGTAACTTAAATTTTTAATAATTCGATATTGCATATTTACAACAACAAAAAAAAAAATAAGAAGAAAGAAAGAAAAAAAAAAGTGGAGGAGAGACGGGTCCGAACTACATATTTTGTCTTATAAAGATGTCTCGCCAATGTCTTGTGTTGCGACTTATTACAGTTAATGAAATAATAAAACATGAATACACTACGAGCTTCTCCACACAGTGACCAAGAATAATTCTCTCTCCAGTCACAGTCACGTGACCTATTAATAGACATCCCTGCCAGTTTATGACCGGTCAATCATGCTCTTGTGCAATATGTGCCAATACTTGTCAAGTAGAGTCACCAATGATTGGTAGTGGCGATTTGCTTGTTTTGCATGTTCGTAGATCTTTGGGTCATGAGTGATTATTGTGCATACTAGCTGAAGGGGGTATGAAAAAAGTTCTACGAGAGCAAGAAAAAGTGGCAATTTTTAATCCCGCCCCCGCTGGATCCCTGGGCCGATTTTGTTTTTCTCCTTCAAATCTTGGTTGAATTAAGAGGTCGAAAAGGCGTGGAAGATTTATGTATGCTAAGTTTGTTCACTCAATCTATCACATTAAGAGTTTTATCAACGAAGAGACAACAGCGCCTGAAGTAAAGAAGAGACCTTAGTTTGCATTTTGTTAACGGTGTTTAAAAAAAAGGTAAGTGAAATATTTCTATTACATTTTTGTTAGAATTTTTTTTACCGACAAAACTTCTCTTTAAAAAATACGTTGTCGAATGATCGTAAAAAAGCAAAAAGTTTCTTTAATTTTCGCCATTCTTAATAACCAAAATATATAGAAAATCGGCGGAACTAGTCAAAGATTGTATTGATGAGAAATCTTTTATGATCTCGACATCTTTTGCCAAATCGATACATCCTAATTCGCTAAATTATTCAGAGCTTGGTCAAGAATTATGATTTCTCATGTAGCAGTGCTAATCAAACGTACTTCATCATTTTAAGTCATATTTATAAATTCTTTTCGCAATTTCTTAACAGAAAGACATGGTCATTATTCTCAATAAGCAGAATTAAAATTACAGTTCTACATAAGTGTATCGTGGTTAAAAGATAACGAAGCAAGCCATAACATACACATGATACAGATAGTGACTGAACTTGGCGAAAAAAAAGGTTCAACAAAATAAAAAAAAATCATAAATGTATTAAACAAACCCATTGAGAGAATGGTGTGTCATTTATTTGGTCACTAAAAGAGACCCTTCCTATATTTTCTTTTCGTCACTTTATTGTCTTTATATCTGCCTGGTTGAATATGGTGTGGTCTCATTAATCATGTTAATTAATTATGTTATAATTATAATAAAACACAAACGCGACACACTCATGATTCTTTTTGCAGATTTTGAAAATGTGTCATGGATTTAGTCCTCCTAAGGAAACTTAACCTTATTAAAATATTTGTAAACTTGGGCTGAATATTAAAATCTTATTATATTGTTTGCCTATCTGAAAAGTAAACAATCGGTTTGTTCAATAAATACATGTACACATGCACAAGAACTAGAGTGGTTTGTTTGCCGAATTGATTAAATATGACATGTCAAATAAAGCTTTTATTTACATAAACAGGCTGCTGAGGCATAATATATTAATAGGTAGCGGTTTATATGTTTTGTTTTTTTTCGGGGGGGGGGGGGGGGTGGAGAAAGCATCTGACCATGCATCACATTGTCGTACAACTGTTTGTCACCGAAAGGGTCACATGTAATGTGATTGGTCGATCGCAATTTAAGCCATTAATTAAAAAAATTGTTTGGTCATTTTATAAAAAAAAGTTCATTTGGAATTGACGCCTGGGGTATTCAAACCTTGCAGGGTAAGAGGAAAATATTTCATGAAGCTTTTTTGAAAATTTTCGATAAAAATCTCAAATTAACAGTCAACACTTTTGAAGAGGGGTCATTTCAATAAAACGGGATTGTACCAATCAAACAATTATTTTAATTTGTATATCCACTGGAAGTTGTCGCTGCAGTCAGGGCGTCGAATGACTCTTGACCCCTGACGTTGTGAGAATGGAACACCTGATTTCAGATTGTTAATTTCCCATTTTTGCAACGCCCCTCGCACTGTGCACGTACACCATCTAATATACTTGTTTAATATACCTTTGTATTTTTTTTTTAATTAATTGGACATATCCCCTTTATTCCAAGCTGATTTAGTTTTTTCCTAGTCTCTAACGACATTGTTTTGCATATACTAGTAAACATGATCAATACTGATATGATTTTACGATGCACTGGAACGATTGGGTGTTCAGCATTGCTTTTTTCATTCGTTTGTTGATTTTCCCCCCTGAAAATATCCTCTACTGTATGTATGTAATAAACGATAATATTTAACAGCATCAGTTTTGTTTAGTTTAAAAATAATCCTTGAAAACTTTTATTTTATTACATTCTTTTATATCATTTTTTCTGTATTTTTTTCTGCTACTTTGTTCATTTTTGTTTTTTTTCTTTTGTACATTCTCTTATTTAATTATTATTATTTATTTTGTACCTTGACCTTGTTGTAGGGAGAGGGCTAAAATAGACTGAGTCTGCTGCCCAATCCCATTCACATCAGTGAATAAAATATTGTTAAAATTTAAAAAAAAACAAAAACAAAACAAAAACCTTTTATTACAGAACTTTACAGCATTTTGGACCATGCAAACTTTCTGCGACCTCAAAAGACGATAATTTTCACATAAAAAAAGTCTTTAGAACGATCAAACAATCTAAAATGACCTTGGTGTTTTATAACGTCACGAACATTTTGGTTTAGTAGTATGTTTGCATATCTTGCAAGACTATAAAAATACCCGCATTGTCAACGAACTTTTTGGACAGCCCACGTGTATTATAGATCTAATCAATTAACTTAAAAGAAATTATATTATTTTGGTTAAAAAGAAAAAAAAATCCTTTTATTATATAAAGGCCTATATGAAGCAAATTTCTAGCCAAAAAAAGAAAGATTTTGCAGAGTATTTACTTAAAAAAAACTATTTATATCAGCTTATCTTGCAGTCGCAACCAGGTACGAGGTCAACTCGCTGCGAGTGTTACACAAGAGCTGCCCCACCCCTTTCCCCGTGAAGAAAAATAAGTTAGAGGATTTTATAAACCATTTTCCGGGACACTGATTCTACTGTTTATATTTAGCCTTTCTGCTTCATTGACGTCAGTCGCCGAGACAATCGGTGTTTACTATGATCACAAGATAGTGATTTAGCAAAAACTTGTAATATATGATCATTAATAAAGAAATCAAAGATGTTCCGAAGGATGAAGAACTGGGTAAGTTATCTATCTATCTCTCTGATCGGACAGTCCACTGTGAGTGTGATAGTCCGAAAGTTTCCTTCTCTCAGGCGTGTAAAACCTCGAACCGGTTACGTCTTGTTTGTTTGTATTCCGGATTTTTAATGGCATGGTGTGTTACACATCAGGAAAAGTAAAATTTAAGGTGTAATTTGTGACGCGTTTACAGAAATGTTGGCTGACCAGGCAAAGGCTTGTTATTTATGGGGTCATTGAGGTTAGAATTCAGTTACTTGGAATGCTTGGTGAAACTAAATTGTGGATTGCTGTTTCTAGGTCCTACAAAATTAACAAACGTATACGAAAGCCTGCCCACTTCTCCAAAGAGAATGGTGGTGATACTATTCATAGATGCACTCGACATTATTTGAAGTAAAAAATTCAAGCCCTTGCCTTTTATTTGCAATTACATGTACATGTAGCATATGCATGTAAATATTTCGTGATCCGGATTTAAATTCATATTCTTTTACATGTTTTAGAACGCGGCGAAATAAAACAAAATTAAGTTTTTAGATGTCGGATATTTTAAAAATAAATAATCAGAACTGCAAACATTGACGGAGGAAGATGGCAATGTTTCTTTTTGTCTGATTTGATGCAGGCTACCGGCTCAGACTGTTTACAAGTTTTTAAAAGCTGTGTTACAACGCACTTTGAAAAATTACGCACTTTGAAAATTTTTTTCAAAGTGCGTTAAGTTTTGGGACCAGGTTAACGCATTTTGAAAAATTTTTTCAAAGTGCGTTGAATTTGGGACCAAATTAACGCACTTTGAAAAATTTTTTCAAAGTGCGTTAAAACTGTACATCATAATTTTACACCATGTAAACATTTAACGCACTTTGAAAAAATTTTCATGAAACAAAAGGAATTAGACTTATATTTTAGAAATAGACAACAGTATTATCCCCTTGCAACGTATGATGGGATATAGTGATGCGATTATGTGTGTTATTACTTTATGTGTATGTTAGTTTTTTCTGTGTGGAATTGACGTAATTTGTATCGGGATCTTTTTTGGGAAGGAATGCTCTGCTTTGCGGTGCCCTTACTTTGATGTGTTTTTTTCTAAAAACTGATGGATTGAAGAAAACCAAGAAACGGAAAACGAAGAAAAGACTGGCTGAATTAAGGTCTATCAGCTCAACTCTTTATCATTCCCACCCAGATATATCTATTTCTATAACTCGTAACCTTAAGTGTCAATGATATTTGAAAAAAAGAGCATTCTAAATACAGTATAAGAACTGTACAAGGAAGTCTGTAGTAAATCGAAATTTTGTTCTTTTAAATCTCAAAGTCTATTTATGTTCATTTTCAGGAAAATCAGAATATTAATTACTAGCTGTAAATTCCTTATTTTTCGCGAGTGTTTTTTATCGCGAACTGGCTCTCAAACGTCAAATCGCTAGAATTATAATTCGCGAATGAACGGTTTATTAACAGATTTTACATAGATTTAAGCACCAGAAAAATAAAAGCGAGAAATATTTTTTTCGCGAGTGATACTTCTCGCGAAATTACGCAGAAATTAATTCCTCGCTTATATTAAGGAATCTACAGTACCTGTCTGCTTTTCGATGTTAATTTGATACCATATCTGATAATCTCTCTGTTAAACTCCAGGTGTTTAAAAACACAAGTTTTGCCAAAATTATAGAGTTATTTCTCTTTGTTATCCCAAATAAGTAAGGTTTTATGAAAATTCATATAAATATCTATAAATTTTTTTTGGAATCATTCCAATATGTTAACATTTGAGAATTGACTAAGAGATAGGCGGAAGAACAATACTATCGTTCGTAGTTCTTTACGACATTGAATGTTGACCTTTTGACCCCAAATTCAAAAGGGGTCTTCCTAAGGCCACAGGGATTTTGTTATGTTAAATTTCATTGCAAATGTTCAAAGGGTTGGCGAGATATCGTGTGGAAACGAAAGCGTTACAGAAAGACGGATTGACGGACAGCTAGACGGACGGACTGACAGATAGACCCAAATTAATATCTCCCACTTTTCAAGCGGGGAACAAAAAGTATCAAATCAGGTTCAAATGATAATTTATCATACCTAAGATTTGTAGGAATATTGACTAAGCCATGCAGAATTTTTTTTTCAAAGTGCGTTAATATGGTCGATATTAACGCACTTTGAAAAAAAAATTATTTTTTCAAAGTGCGTTAACCTGGTCCCAAAATTTAACGCACTTTGAAAAAATTTTTCAAAGTGCGTAATTTTTTCAAAGTGCGTTGCCACAAAGCTGTTTCCTGCTACTTGCATTCTGCACTTAGCAATGCAATAAAGATATGCAAGGAAGTGCGTAAGAATGACGAAATTGTTGTCCTTAAATAATTTCCTTATTTACTTTAATTTTTTTGGGGGAATTGCATATTTCATTGCTCTGTACTTTTCCAGTATTACGAAATAAGAAACAATTCCGTTTAACAAAATGGAAGGAAGAGAATTCATAAATTTCGACCTGCTTCTGCACCTTTTAAAAGTTTAAGTGTACTTTTCTTAGATATAAAAATGAATATTTTTCCAAATCAGAAAGAGCTAAAGCCACGAAGTGCAAAAATATGCCCTGTCACCAAAATGAATAAAATTTTATTCTCTGATAGGTTAGACTTTGTGGGTTATAACATAATTTATTTTTTAATGATATCTTTCCCAGTTTTCTTTTTATAGTCGTTTGAAATTGGTATTTTTTTAAAGTAAAGTCTACATTTTACATGTATAACGTCATGACTTTTGACGTTATTTATACACATGTATATTGTAACGGTATGACGTTATTTAAATGAAGGTAAATATATCTACATTATTGGAAGGATCCGCTAAAATAAACACTACCTAAGAATTTGGGAAATTTTATCATAGGACTGTTAAGAAGTTTTGAATCATGAGATAAATACATGTAGCTAGCTAGATTTTGCTTTGATAAAAAAATGTCTAAATACTGTTATATTGTCCTGTTAAATCAAAAGCAACTTTTTAAAATGATACATCAAGAGAAAATAGGGGGAAGATTTTTTGGGTGTAAATATTAGCTGTATCCCAATTTTGATTAATCCGCAAAGTCAGGAAAAAAATGAATATTAAGTGTTCAATCTTTTTTTTTTTGGGGGGGGGGGGTTGGTTTGAAAATATAGTAAAGGCAACAGAAGGTTGTTTTATTAAGCGGTTGCTACTTGTGTGATCATTCAAAACACAAGGGCCGTGCGTAATTAACAATACCATGTGTACATGTACATACATGCATGTATTTTTCGCCTATCATGCGTAATTGCATAGACAATTTGTTTAAAATTATCCCTCGGACTTGCTGTACACATGGAAGGATATAATTTTGCCGACGAACCTTCACACGTTTTTTATCGTTTAGTGTTTTCCTTTGAGTAGAAGCTCGAGGGTATTGTACATTGCTATGCATACTGGAAATTCATTCGAGATTCATGATCAAAGACGTTTGACGGCACTTGTTTTGATAAACTGTAAATTAATTCGCTTTATTTAAACCTCTTTAAACGCCAACAGATGAACAGGCGCGGATCTAGAATTTTTTTCCAGTCAAAAAAAATATACAACTCGGAAATCTCTTCTCATGCAAAAAAAAGCAAACAAACAAAACAAATCAACAACAACCCCCCCCCCCAAAAAAAAACCCAAAATAAACCCACATAATCTCCTTTCCCATGTTTCGGATTGTTTCCCCCATCGTCTCAAGACACGGTCTGGAGTCCGCATACAGCTGTTTCCTCCAGAATGGGAGAGTATGGGCATTTTGGTCGTGGTTTGCGACGATGATTGTGTTTTCCTATACATATAAAACCATGACTTTTTATACAAACTCAACACAGATTCCAGGGTTTCAGTGTCATCTAGGGGGGATCCAAGGTCACTTTTACTTAGTTAAGTATAGGTATTTAAAATTCTGCAAATCCCAGTCTCTTCATTTAGATCCGAGCATGAATGAATACCGGGTATACAGACAAAGAAGGTAACGTTTATTATTTACCAATTCAACGAATTCCTATCAAATTTAAATCGCTATCATGTCGGGGATAGAGAGAGAAAATGTGAAAATTACACGTCCTATATACCAAGCTAGCATATTTTAAAATTATGATCTTTGGAAGCAACGAAATTACATGCACGAGATAATTCTGATATTCTGGGACACCCCATGTATGAAATAACTGCTGTCATTTTATATAATGTTCAGGGCCGTCACAGCACCTTTTGGTACAAGGACCGGGTCCCTCTATATTGGGAAAAATTCTCGACATTTTTGTCAAATTGGGAAAATAAACATACTTACATGTATTAACCCCCCCCCCCCCCCGAAATATTTAATCATAAAAGCCATTTATCACTTTAAAAAGTATACTTGAAAAGCTAAAATTTACAGGACATAAGGTGTGATAAAATCTAAATTTAACAGACCAAACATTTACTTACTAGAGAAGGAAGTTTTTCTTTTATTTTCATAGGATACAGAGACTAAAAAATATGTGGGGAAGGGGGTATTTCTAACTGTTTCATTGCACCTTAAATAAATCAAAAATTTAGATTATAAAGAATAATTTTCTTGAAATGATCAAGTTACTATTTAAAATTTTCCTTTTAAAGGTTTGCATAAAATTGCTTAAAATTTAATATTTATTTTTTTCTGGTCATTTGACTCATGCAAATGAAATAGATAGTGCCCAAGATTTTATTTTAACGTATAATTCTCTTTAAAATATATATATTTTATTTATAAACTAACTCATGATGGTTATCCTTCTTTTTTAATAATGAAAATAAGTTCCCCATCCCAATCTACGTATGACCTATCTATAGATCTTTATTCCATGACAGAGAAAATTCGAATTAGAAATAAACGGTCATAGCAGGGTTGTTGCAGATTAAAATTAAGCATGCATTACTGCTAAATGGATCAAATAAAGGATGTATGTGCGATATATTAG